CGAGAGCGAGAGCGAGAGCGATTGCGACAGCGGGGCCACGAAGGGCAGGAAGGGGGCCACGAAAGGCGACAGCGGTGCCACGACGGGCATCCGCACGGGGCCGCAAAGGGCGCGAGCGAGCGGGGGCCACGAAGGGCAGACAACGCGCGGCTTCAGAGGGCGACGACGGGGCCGCGGAGGGCAGCAGAGGGGCCACGTAGGAAAGCGAAGCGGTCACAAAGGCAAGGCCGATAGCGGGGCCACGATTGGCTTGCATGTGGGGGGGGCCACGGCGGGCGCGAACGAGCGGAGGCCGCGATGGGCATGCGTATGGTGGGCCGCAAACGGAAGGGACGGATCCACGGAGGGGAGTAGCGGGGCCACGAAGGGCAGCGAGGGGGCCACGAAGAGGGGCAGACAGCGGGGCCACGAAGCGCATGCATATGGGGCGACGACGGGCGCGCACGAGCGGGGGCCACGAAGGGCATACGTATACGGAGCCACGAAGGGCAGCGAGGGAGCCACGAAGAGCTGCAACGGGGCCACGAAGGGCAGCGAGGGGGCCACGAAGGGCTGCAACGGGGCCACGACACAAAGCGAGGGGGGCACGAAGGACTGCAACGGGGCCACGACGGGCGCGAATGAACGGGAGCCACGAAGGGCTGCAACGGGGCCACGAAGGGCAGGAGGGGGCCACGAAGGGCTGCAACTGGTCCGAGGGGGCCACGAAGGGCTGCAACGAGGCCACGAAGGGCAGCGAGATCCCGATTCCGAAAAAACTGTGAGGGAGTCCTAAGCGTGAGCGCGACTCGTGGGTACCTGAGTGTCGGGAGCGCGGCGTTTGAGTAAATTGCAGGAAATTCCGACGCAAGAGCGCGAGCATTGAGATAATTGCAAGAGCAAGTCTCCAGCGAGAGCGAGACTCCAGAGCGCCGAGAGTGATTCCGGATCAACTTGTAAGGAAGTACCAAGCGAGAGCGCGACTCCCTAGGAAATTGCGAGGATGTCTCAGGCGGGAGTGGGGGTCCTGGCTAAATTGTAAGGAAGTCTTAGGCGGGAGCCGTTGTTGGTGTAATCTGGGGGACACGGGCACAGTTCGAGCCGAGTGGCTTCGCCTGATTAAAACCTGGGTGCAAGCCCCTGGGCAAGCACTTCAAAAATCACAATGATCACCGGAGGGGGGATCAACAATACTTTCTCTTCCGCAGTGAGAGCTCGACATAACCAACAACAACAACGACACCAACAATACATTTACCCTCATGCGCGATGTTTCCACACGAAGCATACGACTACCATGATAACCATCCACGTAATGGGGGACTCTTGTTCTATAGCGGCCTCCGTCATTCCCATTCCCAGATCTCTCACCCAATGAGGTCTTGCAAACACCTCCCCCGAGGAATTTCGACATATCCCACCTCGAAAACACATGCCCGCGCTTTGCTGCGCCGATGCGAAGCCGCCAGTGGAGCCCCAGCGAGGGGTAAAGCGCAAGGAAGTATCGAACGACAGGATTGCATTGGTGGGGATGGGGGCTGTCGGCGGTGAGGCAAGGACCTGGCCCTGAATAGAAAGGGGGGAAGTCTCGAGCAGGGCTGCTGTTGTTGTTGGGAGCGGCGCCAATCCTGAAGAGAGTAGGGCGCTAATCCAGCGTAAAGCAAAACAATGCCTGGAGCGGGAGCGCTGGCTTTGTTGGGACGGCGGCTTTCGGCGGCGAGGAGGAGGAACACCGCCTTGAGTAAGAAAGGAGGAAGCATCGAGCGGGAGCCGTGGTTTTGTCGGGACAGGGGCTGTCGGCGGCGAGGAACAGCACCGTCTTCAGGAAACAGGGAGGAGGCCTCAAGCGGGAGCGTTGTTCTTGCTGGGAGCGGCGGCAATTCAAAAGAGAAGCGGGCGCCAGTCCAGCGTAAAACGGAAGGAAGTCTCGGGCGGGAGCGCTGGTTTTGTCGGGGCGGCGGCTTTCGGCGGCGAGGAGGAGCACCGCCTTGAAAAAAAAGGGAGTAAGCCTCGAGCGGGAGCGTTGTTTTTGCTGGGGGCGGCGCCGATGAGAGAAAGACTAGAGCGCCAGTCCAAGGTAAAACGGGAGGATGTCTCGAGCGGGAGCGCCTGTTTTGTTAGGACGGCGGTTTTCGGCGGCGAGCAAGAACACCAGCCTTGACTAAAGAAAGAGTCTCGAGCGGGAGCGTTGTTGTCGTCGTCGTCGTCGTCGTCGTCGTCGTCGTCGCTGCTGCTGCTGCTGCTGCTGCTGCTGCTGCTGCTGCTGCTGCTGCTGCTGCTACTGTTGTTGTTGTTGTTGTTGTTGTTGTTGTTGTTGTTGTTGTTGTTGTTGTTGTTGGGGGGCCGGTCTTGGCGGTCCCCCAAGCCGCTCGAGCGTGAGCCTCATTTTCAATGCAAATGTAGCCAGCGCCTCGGCGAGAGTGCCAGGGCGCCTTTCAGGTGTCCAACCGTAACAATTGTTTAGTAAGAAACAGTCAGCAACAACAACAACAACAAAAATTTTAAGACTGTTCGCCCTAATCTGCTCGAGTGCCCAATAACGCGTATTTCCCAAACCCTCGATACCCGCAGTCTTCGTCTTCGATCGAACTCCTTTTGTGGGGTACACTTTTTTTCTCTGCAGGCCGGGCCCCGGCAAGCGGCGGGGCGGCCGCGGACCGTCGGCCTGGCAAGCGGCACCGCTGATCGGCGGGGCGGCCGCGGATCGTCGACCCGACCCCAAGAGGGACGGACAGGGGACCGACCACGACGACGACGACGACGACGACGACGACGACGACGACGACGTCGAAGACGACGGCGACGACGACGACGACGGCGACGACGAGCGAAAGCGAGAGCGAGAGAGAGAGAACGACAGCAGGGCCACGAAGGGCACGAAGTAGGCCGCGAAGGGCGACAGCGGGGACACGAAGGGAATGCGTATGGGGCAACGAAGAGCGCGAACGAGCGGGGGCCACGAAGTGCAGATAATGCGGGGTCACAGAAGGCAACTATGGGGCCACTGAGGGTAGCAACTGGGCCACGTAGGACAGTGAGGGGGACACAAATGGCGACAGCGGGGCCACGAAGGGCATGCACATGGGGCCACAACGGGTGCGACTCCTGGGTGCCTGGGTGTCGGGAACGGGGCGCTTGGGCAAATTGCAGGAAATTCCAACGCAGGGCCATTCTTCAGTAAGTTGCAAGCAAATCTCCAGCGAGAGCGCGACTCCAGAGCGCCGGGAGAGCGATTCCTTAATAAATTGACGAAGTCCCAAGCGAGAGCGCGATTCCTGAATAAAATGCGAGGAAGTCTCGGGCGGGAGCGGGGGTCCTGGCTAAATTGTAAGGAAGTCTCAGGCGGGAGCCGTTGTTGTTGTAACCCGGGGGCCAGGGGCCCAGTTTGAGCAGGAAGGCTTTCCCTGTCAAAAACCAGGGTGCGAGCGTCGAGGGGCACACTTTGATTGAGATAAAACAGTATGCGCCGGTGTGGGGGATCAACAATAATAACTCTTCAGAAGTGAGAATTCAACAACATCAACAACAACAGCAACAACAACAACAGCAACAACAACAACAACAGCAACAACAACAACAACAGCAACAACAACAACAACAACAACAACAACAACAACAACAACAACAACAACACCAACAACAACAACAACAACAACAACAACAACAACAACAACACAATCAACAACAAATGCTGTCCAAAACCGGCAGCGGCCGCTGTTGGGCAGGCGATTGTTTGCCTCAAGCGGATAGTTAACGCCTGCGGCGAAACCAACGACAGACCATTGAACACAAGGGTGGGCAAGATACGTTGTCGGTCTTCGTCGCCACTCTTTCCTCCAACCGGCATGAAAGAAAGACGTCAGCAGGGGCACGGCTCCTGGACCCCACGGCCATCCCCCAGGGCCAACCTTTCATCCTTCCTTACCTAGGGCTCCCAACTTCGCGCTTCGCGCTGCGCGAAGCGCGAAGCGCGAATAACTTCGCGCTCTCGCGCCGCCCTCCCAGAAGGAGAATAGGAGGACGAGGAGGAGGGGGAGAAGGAACGAGGACCGCGAAGCGCGAAGCGCGAATAACTTCGCGCCCTCGAGGGAGCCCTTGCTTACGGGGCCCGTGGAAGGCCTCAGGAGGCAGAAGACGGCGGACAACCTCGGGGCCCCACTGCGGCAACTCACGAGAGCCTCCCATGCCATCCTGACTCCTGCGAATCGGCGCCAGTCGATGCAACGTCGACGCCGATCGACGCTACATCGGCGCTGCCTCGTCGACCACCAGGCGCGGATCGATGCGGGTGCGTCCTGAAGACATACGGCCAAGAAGCCGAAGAAGGACGCGCGGTAAGGACGCAAGACCCTCGAAGCCGAATTGGGAGTTTTGGTGCGGCGGACGACGAAAACCCCGTGAGCGGGCAAGCGAAAGAGACCAAGGACGAGCCGCAGGAGCAAGGAAGAGCAAGGACGCGAGGGTACCCTGAGCAAAGTCGCGCGTCCTTGTTAGGATTTTTGACTGTAATCAAGGGGAACGAAGAATGACATAAACATAAAAACTCGGAGGTCCGCGCGGATTCCTCGGATCGGAGCTGGAAGCCCCTCCCTGGCGCGCGGAGCGCGCCAGGGGCGGCGCCGGAGGCGCCGCCAGGGGGTCCAGCGCGGCTCCAACAAATCCGCGCGGACCTGTGAGTCTTTACGTTTACGTCATTGTTCGCTCCCCCAACTCAAGGCTCCTATGATCTGCTTCCGAAAGGCCCGTCGCCCCAGGACCCCTCTTCCTCACACGGATTAGGGGGCCCGTGGATCTGGAGCGTCGCCGCTCGATCCAGGGATCGGGGAAGGTGCCTCCGAAACTCAAGGGCAATGCCGCCCGATCCGGCGACGCGTGGCACCGATTCTGCACGAACGCAAGACCCGCCGCTCGTCCACTAGTCTTCATCCATGTTTGCGTTCCTTCAGCACCCATGGTCCTCCGTGGCGATCCAGGCTCCCGCCCGCCCGAGCGCTCCTCTCCCCGCCCCTTGCCGGCCCAGCCGTTGGGGGGCGGCCGTCTCTGGAGGTCAGGCACGTGTCCCTGGCGCGCCGCACGGGTGGTGCTGAGGGCTGGGGTTAATGTGTTCGTCTGCGCTCAAGGTAATGCAATGAGGCGGGTCGAGTCGGACAGGCTCGGGCGGGTGGACCCTGACGGGCGGCTCGAACGGGCGGACACTAACAGACGGACTGGGTCGTTGGATCCATAAAGCGGGTGGGCGTGCTTTCAAGCAAGCAAGCTGGCAGGCCCTGACTGGCGGGCCGGGTGGTCGGATTGAAACAGTCATTTGACGACGACCCTTTTGGGCCATCTTGGGCCCTCTTGGGCCTCTCTTGGGCTGTCTTGGGGCTCCTCGGGGGCGTCTGGGGCACTGGGAAGACGAAGCAAGGGAGTATGCTAAAAATGTACGTTGTACTACGGGGACGGTCTGATTTTTGCCTCTTGAAGGCCATCTTGGGGCCCTCTTCGGCCATCTTGAAGCCATCTCGGGCCCTCTGGGGCCTCGCTCAGGCTGTCCTGGAGACTATAGGGGGCCCTGGGAGCCCGGAAGTAATGATCCCGGAGAGGCTTCCGGGAACATGATTTCGAACGGGGCCCTCTTGGGCCTCCCTGAGGCCGTCTTGGGGGCCTTCTGGGCCGGCTTCGGGGCCTCTTGGGCCGTCTTGGGGGGTTCCGTGAGGCTCACAGGGCGACCCTTTTGGGCCGTATTGGGCCCTCTTGGGTCTCTCTTGGGCTGTGTTGGGGCTCCGCGGGGGCGTCTGGGGCACTGTGAAGACGAAGCCAGTGAGCATGCTGAAAATGCACGTTTTGCTAATGAAATGGGCCGATTTGTGCCTCTTGAAAGCCCTCTTGTGGGGCCCTCTTCGGCCATCTTCAAGCCATCTCGGGCCCTCCTGGGCCTCGCTGAGGCTGTCCTGGGGCTCAATGGGGGGCCCTGTGAGCCCAGAAGTAATGATCCCGGAGAGGCTTCCGGGAACATGATTTCGAACGGGGCCCTCTTGGGCCTCCCTGAGGCCGTCTTGGGGGCCTTCTGGGCCGGCTTCGGGGCCTCTTGGGCCGTCTTGGGGGGTTCCGTGAGCCCCACAGGCCGACCCTTTTGGGCCGTATTGGGCCCTGGCTCATGCCCACGAAAAGCATGCGGCCGCATATGGGAACCCAGAAACGCATGCCAGCGCACGGGGCGCCCACAGTGCAGCCACAGGCAGGGTCAATACGAAACATTGGAAGCGTATCTGCTCCTATTTTTCCCTGATCAAGGCAACTCGCCTAGCCATCATATGGACATGTATCGCAACGAGGGAGAGAGAGAGAGAGAGAGACAGACAGACAGACAGAGAGAAAAAGAGAGAAAGACAAAGACAGACAGAGACAGACAGAAAAAGGGAGAGAGAAAAAAAGACAGAGAGACAGAGACAAAAAGAGAGAGAGAGAGAGGGAGAAACAAAAATGAAGCTCTCCAGGCGCCTGGTCATAGTAAGGGCGCGAGGCATGATGAAGAGCGCTCCAAGGAAGCGCTCTCAAAGGTCACGAGCTACACAAGTGGCGCTCTCATGCACAAGTGGCGCGGAAAAAAAAACAGATAATAATTCAGGTTCAGGAAGACGCAACTACAAGCGCGCGACACCAGGCGAGCAGGACAACCGCTCGGGTGAAACGTGGCTGGCCGAAGCACATCGCTCTCCGACCGAGTTGCTGATGAAAAAATTAATTAAGGTGTTGAACGGCACTAAAGGAGAAAACAAAAACGACGAGGCACCTGCGCGATGTGAGGTGAGACACCGCCGCGGCGACGCAGGTGCAGTGACCGAGCTGGTGCCCGGGATGGGGTCACGAGGATTCCGGCGGCGACCTCCCCGGGGGGCCCGTGGCCGCCTCGGCGCGGTCGGCGAGGGGCTCCGCGGCCGGCTCCCCGACCGCCGCGGGCGAGGCCTCCGCGACGCCGTGGCCTCCGCCGGGCCGCCGCGCGCGGAGCGCCAGCACCGCCGCGCCCACCCACCTCGTCGGCTCGCTGGCTGGAGCCGCCTGCAGCGCCGTCGCCGACTCGGGCTCGGCCTCGGGCGCCCGCCAGAACCCGTCGAGCTCCTCCTCTGAGATCGAGGGGCGGTGCTTCACGACGCCCTCCTTGAGGCCGAAGAGGGAGGAGGGCTGCTTGTGCTGGGGCTGCTTCGTGCTCGCGCCGAGTTCGCGGCTGCGCAAGAGAGCCATGTTGCGCTCCAGCGACATCCCACCCAAGATATGTTAGCCGAGTGGCAGGAAAGAGATGGCTCGACCTCAAACGGCTTGAGCCAAAATGGCGACGGATTGCCTCTTGAATGCCCTCTTGGGGCCCTCTTCGGCCATCTCCAAGCCATCTCGGGCCCTCTGGGGCCTCGCTGAGGCTGTCCTGGGGCTCAATACGGGGCCCTGGGAGCCCGGAAGTAATGATACCGGAGAGGCTTCCGGGAACATGATTTCGAACGGGGCCCTCTTGGGCCTCCTTGAGGCCGTCTTGGGGGCCTCCTGGGCCGGCTTCGGGGCCTCTTGGTCCGTCTTGGGGGGTTCCGTGAGCCCCACAGGCCGACCCTTTTGGGCCGTCTGGGGCCCCCTTGGGTCTCTCCTGGGCTGTGTTGGGGCTCCGCGGGGGCTTGTGGGGCACTGTGAAGACGAAGCCAGCGAGCATGCCGAAACCGCACGTGTTACGAAGGAATGGGCAGAGTGTTGCCTCTTGAAGACCCTCTTGGGGCCCTCACAGGCCCTCTTGGGGCGCTCTTGGGCGTCTTCGGGGCCTCTTCAAGTTTTCGTGACCATCTGCGTGGCCTGTCGTGGGCAATTTGGAAGCGGCTCGGGGCAGTCCCGGGGGGCCTGTGACCCCCCACAAGTTCGGGGGGGCCGCCATGGGGGATGACGGCACCGATTTTGCCCCCTCCCGGCCTGCTCATATATATATATATATATATATATATATATAGTAGAACCATCGCGCGCGCTTCGCGCGCGCTCAGGTTCCAGCCCAGGCCGGGGGGGGCGCTGGACGATCTCTTAGGGCCCTCTCGGGCCGTCTTGGGCGCCTCGAGCACCGTCTTGGGGCCCTCGCGGGCCGTCTTGGGGCCCTCTTGGAGGCCTCTTCCTGTATATGGGAGCGGTATTGGAAGCCTCTTGGGCCGTCTTGGAGCATCGGGATGCCCAATCGTAAAACAATGAGTTGTGCCTCTCGGGGCCACCTTGGGAGATCTCTTGGAACTTCGTCGGCCCTCTTGGGAGCTTCTTGGGGGCCTCTTGGATCCGATTGGGGGCCTCTTGGGACTTCCCGAGAACCTCTCGGGGTAGAAAGCTCGGATTCTCCGTTCATGCTTCCCTTCTTGGGCCTCTCTTGGGGCCGTCTTGGGGCCCTTTCGGGCCGCCTTGGGCGCCTCAGGCACCTCCTTGGGGCCCTCGTGGGCCGCCCAGGGCCCTCTTGGAAGCCTCTTCGGCTATCTTGGAGCTGTCTTGGAGACCTCTTCCTCCTCGTCCCCCTCCTTCTCCTCCTCCTCCTCCCACTCCAGCTCTCTCTCCTCCTGATCTTCCTCCTCCTCCTGCAGCGTGTTCCGGAAGGCTCCCGCCGGAACTTGCTGTGCACAAGTGCTGTCACTGCTCCCGCCGCCGTGCCCCGGGTGGTGGGTCAGAGGCCTCATGGGTGTTGGTTTGGATCTCGTGGTTGGCGTGTCGGGGACGTCGTGAAGGCAGTTTCGCAGCTTCTCGGTAGCCGTTTTGGGACCGTTGTGGGGCCTCCTCGAGGCTGTTTTGTGGCCTCTTTAGGCCTCGTTTGGGCCTCCTGGGTGCCTCTTGGGGGCTTCCTGGGGCCTCTTGAGAGCTCCTTGGGGCCTCCTGGGGCACTCTTCAAGCTGGAGGGTCGAATTTTGGAGTCGTGGTCACCCTCTTGGGCGCATCTTGGGGCCGTCTTGGGGCTCTGTTGGGCTGTCTTGGGCGACTCTGGGGCCCTCTTGGGGCCCTCTTGGGCCGTCTTGGGGCGCTCTTGGGGGCCTATTGAGCCGTCTGGGAACGTCGGACAGCCGAAAAGGCTGGAAGGCCAAAATCGTTCGAAAACCTTCGTAAAATTGACGAGTTCGCCCTCTTGAAGCGCTCTGGAGAGGCGTCTTGAAGCGTCGTGGAGTGCCATGGGGGGCCTCTCGGGCCGTCTTGGGCCTATCTTGGGCGTCCTGGAGCGGTCTTTCGTCCGGAACGCGCTTGGGCAAGCGCTGGGTTTGGGGAAGGCGAGTGGGAACCGTTCAGGCAGTTTGGGGTGCTCGGGGCAAGAGGCGGAAGCCATCCTCATAAGACATGCAGTCTGTCGGGAGTCCGCCGGAACGTCTGGAATGATCACGCGCTGCGGTTTCCCATGCCGACGTCCTCGGACGTGGGCGCCCTGCCACGAGCGCGTTCCGGGAAGATGCTCCCGGAACGCGTTGAAAAGATCTCCAGGCTCCCAGGTGGCCTCCAAGAGACCCCAAGAAGTCTGATAGGTATCACGGTACGGCCCGAAGAGGCCAAAGTCGTGTATATTCAATGGTCTTTTGAATGTTTTTTGGCTCCTCGCGTTTTCGAGCTCCCAACGGTCCAAGAGCGCCGAAGAGCCTCCCAAGACCGGCCCAAGACCACCCAAGATACCCTCAGGACGGCCCCAAGACAGGCCAAGAAGGCTCCAAGACTGCCGAAGAGGCGCCCGGCACATCCCCAGACCACCCCAGAACAGGCCCAAGATGGGCCCAAGAGCGAGCAGGAGGCTTCCAGAGACCTCCGAGAGGCCTCCGGGACCCCCCAGAGGCCCCCAACACCCCCCCCATCCTTGAGAGGCCCCAAAGAGACCCCGACGAGGCTCCAAGAACAGCCCAAGAGAGCTGCGAGAGCCGTCCCGAGAGAGCCCAAAGAGGGTAAAATCGTTGATTTCGCATGGTTTTTCATGTTTTTCGCCTTCTCACGTTTTCCCGCTTCCAGCCCTCAAAGATCGAGGATTTTGGGGAGACACAAAAGAATTCCAAGAGTTCATTTTTGTTAATCAAAGTAGAACTCCTACTCGGGGGTCCTACATATCCCCTGACATCTGGCCGGTACCGCGCCTCCCGGCTTCTTAACGTTGTCGCGGAGTCTCCGAAGGCCCTCAAGAATCCGGGAATTGTGAATTTGGGTGAGATGCTCATCCATTCAGGACTCAGGACAGTATGCCCGGGCCCGGGCATACTGTCCAGGCCACCCTGAGCGCGCGTTCAGGTTCTAGCCCAGGCCGGGGGGGCGCTGGACGATCTTGGACAACGCTATCAAGCACAGGCGCGTGACGGCATCTGAGGAGCTTCTGGGGTGTTCCGCATGCTTCGTCAACTGGCTGTTGGAGGCACCGCTTGGGTGCTTCTTGGGGGGGCGTCTGAGGGTCCCTTGGGGGCATCGGTTCTGCAATCTGAAGCCGTCATTGGCCGTCTTGGCTGCGTGGAGGCCCGACTTGAGGCCACCTGCGGCCAGATTGAGACAATCCGGAAGCCTCCCGGGGGGCTCCTGGAAGCAGTTTGGACGCATCGAGGGCACAGTTGGGCTATTTTAAAACCTCTTGGACGTCTCCTAGGGGCCTTTTAGGCCCTCGGGGAGCTTTTGGGGTCCTCGTCGGACCACTTGGGGGCCTCTTGCGGCCTCCTGTGGGCCTTTTGGGGGGAACGCTCTGCTGTTGGGTCGCGTTCCCCTTCTTGGGCCTCTCTTGGGGCTCTTGGGGCCCTCTCGGGCCGTCTTGGGCGCCTCGAGCACCGTCTTGGGGCCTTCGCGGGCCGTCTTGGGGCCCTGTTCGAGGCCTCTTCCTCTATATGGGAGCGGTATTGGGAGCCTCTTGGGCCGTCTTGGAGCATCGGGATGCCAAAAGGCCGAAAAAATCAAACCCGTCAAAGCCCAATCGTGAAACAATGAGTTGTGCCTCTTGGGACCACCTTGGGAGATCTCTTGGAACCTCGTCGGCCCTCTTGGGAGCTTCTTGGGGGCCTCTTGGAACCGATTGGGGGCCTCTTGGGACTTCCCAAGAACCTCTCGGGGTAGAAAGCTCGGATTCTCGGTTCGTGTTTCCCTTCTTGGGCCTCTCTTGGGGCCGTCTTGGGGCTCTCTCGGGCCGCCTTTGGCGCCTCAGGCACCTCCTTGGGGCCCTCGTGGGCCGCCCAGGGCCCTCTTGGAAGCCTCTTCGGCTATCTTGGAGCTGTCTTGGAGGCCTCTTCCTCCTCCTCGTCCCCCTCCTCCTCCTGATCTTCCTCCTCCTCCTGCAGCGTGTTCCGGAAGGCTCCCGCCGGAACATGCTGTGCACAAGTGCTGTCACTGCTCCCGCCACCGTGCCCTGGGTGGTGGGTCAGAGGCCTCATGGGTGTTGGTTTGGATCTCGTGGTTGGCCTGTCGGGGACGTCGTGAAGGCAATTTCGCAGCTTCTCGGTAGCCGTTTTGGGACCGTTGTGGGGCCTCCTCGGGGCTGTTTTGTGGCCTCTTTAGGCCTCGTTTGGGCCTCCTGGGTGCCTCTTGGGGGCTTCCTGGGGCCTCTTGGGGGCTCCTTGGGGCCTCCTGGGGCACTCTTCAAGCGGGAGGGTCGAATTTTGGAGTCGTGGTCACCCTCTTGGGCGCATCTTGGGGCCATCTTGGGGCTCTGTTGGGCTGTCTTGGGCGACTCTGGGGCCGTCTTGGGGCCCTCTTGGGCCGTCTTGGGGCGCTCTTGGGGGCGCTCTTGGGGGCCTATTGAGCCGTCTTGGAACGTCGGACAGCCGAAAAGGCTGGAAGGCCAAAATCGTTCGAAAACATTCGTAAAATTGACGAGTTCGGCCTCTTGAAGCGCTCTGGAGAGGCGTCTTGAAGCGTCGTGGAGTGCCTTGGGGGGCCTCTCGGGCCGTCTTGGGCCTATCTTGGGCGTCCCGGAGCGGTCTTTCGGCGGCTCGGGGCCCGCTTGGGCCGCCTTGGGAGCCTCTGGAGGCCCTCCTGGACTATTTTGGACCTCCCCGGCCGCCCCGTCCTTTCATGGGGGGTCGGAGGCGGCGGCCTCCGAGGCCCAGGACGCGGAAATCCTTTAAACATACAAGGAAAATGAGCCCCGGTACCCCCAGTGAGGGTCGGGGCAGCTGTTTTCGGGCACTGGGCCTCCTGGGTGCCAGTTGGGGGTCTCCTGGGGCCTCTTGGGGCCTCTTGGGGCCCCTTTGGGGCCGGGGTCCTGTGGAGGCGGGAGGCTCGAATTTCCGGTTCGCTGTTCCCCTCTTGGGGCCCTCTTGGAGCCGCCTTGTCTTGAGCCCCTCTTGGAGGCCTCTTGGGCTGTCTTGGCACGTCCGCGGGGGGCCTTTGAGCCGTCGTGGAGCGTTGGAAAACTGAAAAGGCGGGAAAGGCAAAATGTGTCCAAAACCTTCGTAAAATGGGGC